CATTCCATAACCACCTTCCACACCACTATGCCTACGCGAGCAATGAAGCAGCCACGTGGCGGGAAACCCCTCTTTGTTGTGATCTCTCTCATCACCTCCACCACCGTACGCCACCATGAGCTGGTGGTGATCGACACCCTCGACGGCGACCACCGCCAGTTGAAAACCCAATTGGAGAAGATCTCTCTCTCTCCCCCTCATTTTGGCAATAAATCAACAAAATTTTCTGATTTCACATTTGGGTTCCACAATGTACTGCAACTGCTTGTTGAAATGACTGACTGAATATATTTTGTTTTTCTTTACTATAGTTTTTCCTGCTTGCACTAATTGCATTTTTTACCTTGAGTTTGGCAACAAATAAGCATAATTATTTGGTTTGAAACTGGGTTACACAATGCACTGCAATGTTTTTAGAAATGCCTGATTGATTGCATATAGTTGTTTTGTTTCATTGTGGTATGTGTTGGAAAACCATATAATCTCTCATAATATATGGTGTTTTTGCTTTATGCATGAGTTTCAATCCAATTTCTTACACTAAGCTCAAGAGAGGGTGAATATGTGCAGCTAAGCTTTTGAAGTTTTCTAAATTCATCTTGGTAAAGGAAATCCAAAGTTTGCAAGGATTAGCTATTGATTGCATTAATTGATTGATTGATTTCAATTGAGCATGAGTGTGTATTCTGAATTAACTGCCTATATGTTGTTTTAGAACGGGACATGGAAGGTTTCGTGGCTGGCAAATACAAGTTTTAGTTCAATCTAATATTTAACTTTCTTTTTATCAATAATTAGTTAGTCAGTGAATCGAAATTGATATTGCTATATCTTTTATATTAAATTGCATTTTTTTTTAATATTTTTGTCTTCATAATATTTGCATTAATTGTAATTTGTTTAATCTTACTAAAAAATAAATTAATATAATTATATCAAAATTATGAATCTACTTATAATTGATTTTAAAACTCGTTTAATGTTTGTATTATCAAATCATGTCATATTTATATTTTTGTCCAAAAAAATTATTAATCTTAAAATTTTAATTTCATATATAATTCAAATTATATTATTATATAACGACGAAAATTCTCACCGTTAAATGGTAGACAATTTCGAATCATCCAACAACTCTTAAACGACCTCGTGGAGAGCACACCACTTTATATAAATTTTGACAAACGTCTGAAAACAGTCTTCTTTTTGAGCTCATCTAAAAGAGCCTGGAAGCATATAAAAGCTGGGGAGAGGCTCCCCAAGTTTATTGGGTGGATTTAAGCTTAAGCGTATTATTTGGTTCATGAGATCTAGATTCTATTTTGATAATTTAAAGTTTAAAACTCGTCGAGTACTTCATGTCTGTAAAAAATCACTTTGATTGGATATCAGTAATCCCTTGATCGGACCACATTTTTGTTAAAAAATTATTTTTAAAATCATATTTACTATTGATAAAAATGTATTCCGATCAAAGGACTACCGATATTCGATTAACATGTTTTTTCGTAGACATGAAGTACTCGATAAGTTCTACATATTAAATGTTTAAATTATCATAACAGGGGTCTCATAATTTCAATAATACTCTCCAACTCACAAAATGAATTGGAAAAAGGCCTCTCCAATTCACAAAATGTAGACATGATGACCATCCATACTTATCTCTTAAAATTTTGAAAATTAGACCTCCCCTCTCCTATAAAAACCCATGTTGTTTGAGAAAAGAATTTGTTGTTTAGCTTTAAGGATCATCATCATATCGCAAATTAGGAAGCTCAAATTTTGGGACTCTTTGGTCTTCTCAATTTTTGCAGGTTAGCTCTTTCTCCTCTACTATTACTTTCCTGTTTGAATTTCTTATCTTCTATGTTTTTTTGTTTAATTTAGAAACTGAATGAAACTATATTGTAATTGCTAGTTCAATTAAATAGAGAGCCTGTTTGGACTGAATGATAATAGTTATGCTTATGGGCTCATTATGTTTTTATCTTAATAATTTAAATTGTTCATTTTTTATGATTACATACATTATAATATGATCGGAATTACAATTTCACAAACCAACTGCACTATCTAGTCAATAGATTGGAAACTGGCAAAATTCTCAATTCCACTATTAAATTGGTGAATGAATATGTTATAATTGATTGTTAATTTTTTTTTGTCAACATAATTAATTATTAATAAAATTTGAAGATAATGCACCTCGTCGGTAAAGTAAATTGAATAAAATAACATGCTACGTTTCTTTTATAGATTTGTCATTATAATTGTTTGAAACTTTCTTTTTGTCCTTTTTACCACCCAAAAATAAGCCAATAAAATGGATAACCAACCATACATTGCTTATCGTATCTTATTAGAGAGCCTGTTTTAAATAGTCAAAAAATAAGTTAAAAAAGTTTATTTATGATTGGTTCTGCTTTACGGTACGAGCACAGGCACGAAATGTGGCTTCGAATATTTTCATAATTTTTTCTTCCTCTATGCTTCTCACTTTATTTTCACTTTGTTTGGTATAAGTTTTGGATTAGATAGACTCATGTAAATGCCGTTTGGCTTCTTGAATGAAATATTTCTTCCGATAAAAAAAAAAAAAAAAAGGCTAACGTCCATTGTTTTGTTTTATAATATCCGTATTATTTCAAATGAATTAATTATTCTTATTTTATTATACCTACAAATTTTAACATATAAATGCAGAAGATTCTTGTAATGCAATTTTATGTTTGATAATATAATTTTTTGACATGACATTGGTCTTTTTAGGATGAACCAACAAATTTAACTTATTATTTATTGGTTTATTTAACTCACATTATTCTTTTACTTTTCTGCACGCCTTTATGTAGTAAGTAAAAAAAAATTAACTTATAAATCATACAAAATAACTAAAATAAGACAATTTAAATCATACATGAAATTAGTGAGTTCAAATTAATTATTTTTTTACAGGGACATAAAATATGACATAATTTGATAAAATAAATATTAAATCCGTCAGATTACTGTCGCATTAGTATGAAGTAATTTTTTTTAAATTTAAGTGTTGTTTATATATAACATCAAAAGTAAGATCGGAACATGAATCGTACTTATGTGAATCTTGTACTGTTGTCTCACATTAGCATATAATTCTATAAAGAAATTTTGTATTCCTAACATAACTCACCACAAAATTCATTTATTTATTTATTTACACATAAATTTTTTGCCTCAATTGAAAACACTTTCGTCTTTTATTTTACTCTTCATTTTTCAAAATAAATTTTCACTCTCTCCTCCATTCACCCACACTACTAGAAATATGACTTTTGGCGTCTATACTTTTGCGACTGATTATTGAACGGTCGCAAAAAATCATTTTTAGTGATCAAAATCTTACTTTACCATCTCATTTTCCTGACCCAATCATTTTTGGACATCATTATCTTATTTTACCATCAAAATCTTATAAAACTTGACTCTCTCTCTCCCCCTCTCAATCCGCCCCCTTTAGTAGCTTTTGCAGAAATATTATCTGAGCTCTCTCTTTCTCTCCCTCTCAAAATCTGTCTCTCGCTCGAATCTCACCGACTCTCGCTCGAATCTCACGGCCTCTCTCACTCGAATCTCTCGCTCGAATCTGTCGATCGATTCAACTTTCTCAAGTGCACAACTGTTGAAGATTTCATAATCGGTAAGCCTAAGCACATCTTCATCGATTCAACTTTCTCTGTAATGATCCGAGAAATCAAGTGTGCTCTGAATTGCTCTATCACGCCCTCAAAATAATACATAAAACCCATCACTTTAGACATGCAATGATGTACGAGAAATAAATATCTTTCTATTAATCAGAGTAGCTTTTGCAGAAATATTACATGCTACTAACAAACAAATGCCCTACGGGCTTACAGCTTTCCAAGTTAACACTTGGTTACAAAAAGAGAAGAGTACTAACTCAATACATCTTAAGCCCTTGGCTTGAATTTACATATAATACATCAAAGAAAGCAAAACAACAAAAGCAGTCTGTCTGCCTCTTGCCTCCCAAACTACGCCCTTGGAAGTGGCATGCTTCTTGTACCTGAAAATGGTGTCCCATATAGGGTGAGTCACAGCCCAGCAGAAATACACTAAACCAACTATAAACAATGACAAAGATAATAGCGTTCAATGGGTGGCCCACACTTATATTCCAATTTATACCGTGTTACAGTTTCACCTTCCGTTTCTTATCCAATACTCAATTCATAACTATGACTCAGAACCTGGTCAAACAACCGATATGAGACAGACACTCATATTAAGCATTCACATTTCGCAATAGAAAAGCATACTAGCTATATCAATACATCAAGGAATAACCATATAAGCTGTATCAATACATCAACAAATAAGCATATTAGCTGTATCTGCACTTCAATAGATAAGCATATGAGCTGTATCTGCAAAATGTTTCCATAATGTAAATTGAATTTCATTTTGGGTATAAAACCTTAAACCCAACACTGACTATTTTTAGGTTGTGTTTAAATCTCAAAAAAGAAAAGCAAATGAAAATGAATCCATTCCACATCTATATGATTTCCTACCTATTTTGTATCACAGATGCAAAACCTATATATATATATTATATCAACAATTCAAATAGTCCAATTTTTCATGAAATCATTTGTTTTGCTGGAAAACTCTGTTCTTGAAATTCATACCAAATAAATCCTTAAGCACTTAATACTCTAGATTAAAAATAAAAAAAAAGAAAAGAAAAACTTCAGATCTTCCAAATAGAGTTCCACATTACAATTCCAGCCCAGAAATGGAGTTGTGTCCAATTGATCAATATTAAATAGATTCATCAGTGATTACATGGCTATACCAATGCTATGTTGTGCTTCTTCTTCATCCTCTCTCTCTCTTCAGAATCAGAATCAGTCGAGTCAAGATTATTTCGAGCAGAATTAGTTCTCTGCATGAAAAACTTTCTCACAACAAAATGATAAAATCATAGGCCAGGCGAAATCTCCAAGAACACAGCCTGCAAAATGCATAAATTTAGAAATCAATAAATTATCGAAGACAATTTCAATGCAAATTTAAGTTTGATGTTTCACGGACATTGAAATTTTTGATTAAGCAACGGGGCGATGTGCTTACCAATCCACTGACCAGTGGAAGGAGGAAGTAGGGTTGAACCAATCCCTGCTCCAACAGAAGCAAAAACCAATGCTGCACCACACCTGGCAGTAGTACAAGAAACCTTCTTGCCAAGAACTCGAGTTTTTTCCGCTCTAACAATTTCAGTGAAATACCGGTAAATGTCAACGCCAACTTGGACAAGCCATGACGCTGCAACTCCAAGAAGATGTCCTGCTTAGACATAATAACAGGTTATTAAACAGTGAGACTAAAGGACAACCGACTGAATTGAATGTTGAAAATTGAATATAGAGAGATGTTTGGACCTCTGAAAGTCGTTTTGCTAACACTGAAGAAGTAAACTAAAGTTGGCATCCCCCTTCCGGCCTTGCGTGCAGCTGATCTGGGAACATCTGTAAAGATTCTTCTCTCCAATTTTGGTATTGTAGACCTGGAATGATTCACCTGTTTGATCTCCAATGCTATAAATACTCTCTGTTTGATGTAATTGCTGTAATTAAATACAATGTCACGTCTGCCACTGTTTTTATTTTTATTTTTTTATTTTTGGATTAAATTGTTCAATTTCATCTTTTTAAATCCACTTGAAATACATTTATAGAGCAGCTCCTACCCTCTATTTATTCATGATGTTCAATTTTATAAATTTTACTAAAAGTTTTCATGGGCCATTGGTTTTATTTGGTATACTTTTTGAACTATAATATGCACTTGTCATTATGATACTTTGCAAACTCATTCTTTTTATTGATGTGTACAAAAATAGTAAATGACCATCATTTACTATACTAACACTTGTTCCACATTTGGACTTAATAGATTTTACAGCTTAGCTATTATCAAATTTAACATTAAATTTTTTCGATCCATCTAAGTAGCAAAATTCAAATTCCCTTGTTGATTAATTACTAGAAGCGGGTAAAATTCAAGAATGATTGTCTTGATGATGGTCATACCAGTAGTTATTTAATTTTTTTTTCCCTTTTGTTTATTTATTTTCATTTTTTGACAACTCCACTAGTACCTGTCACATGCTAGTAAAATTCTATAGACAAATTTTAGATTAGCCCGATATTTATACATTCTAGCGAAGCGATATACATACCTTGACAGCTGCACATTAGCTTATGTAATTTTAGTTATAGTATGCATTTGAGATTCTACTCTTATGTGCTACTATTGACAGGAAGTTCCTTAGCTTTCAGGTTGAGATTCTACTCACAATGAAGAATTATTGGGACAAGCGTCTCGATTTGTTCTTCGCGGTTTCATTTCATTTAGTTACAATTTACAGTAGAGAATGGCTTTGTTCACACTTTCTTCTTCCCTTGGATCATTTCAATTGAAGCCATATTTACATCTAGTAGTTCTATTATACATATTATAGTTCCCGCAATCCTTCTTGTTTCACTTGTTTTTGTTCTGATAACCAGAATTTTGGTTATATTTTTTAGTCTTTCTTATGTTCATGTGACATAGAATAATTATGTGTGTGCTTGCTTACACATGCACATGCGCTCCAAAAATTAACCCCATGAATCTGGAAGGACTTCTGCTCTCACCTTTATAGTGAAATAATTCATCTTTGTTGCTTGCACTACTAGAAAATTGGCTTTTTGCGACTATTTTTTTGCGACTGCTTGTTTGGCCGTCGCAAAAGAAAAAAAAAAGCTCCAATTTATATTTAACCTTTATTTTTCCTATTTTCTTTATTTATTTGCTTTTGCCCTAGCTTGGCTCGCTCAACCTCTCTCTCTCTCGCTCTCGCTCACCGGTATGAATCTCTCTATCTCTCTTGATCTCAATCGATTGATCTCTCAATCTCTCAATCTCGATCTCTCAATCTCTCACCCTCTCTCAATCTCTCTTTGTATCTGCGTACACGTTGTCTACTCTCTCTCTGCAATTTGCGCGATTCATTGCAGAGAAACCCTATATAATTACATGAATGCTTATATACATATGTATATGTATTCAGCATTGCAATGCAAATCTGTCCTCGGTTCTGTTTTTGCTTCTTTGTTTTTTACCTCTGTTTTGGTTCTTTGATCCATAAATTGCTCGATTTGGATGTGAAGAAGTTTGTTTGGCAGAATATTAGAAGTCCTACTAGGATTGTGCCATATGAAACTTATAAAAGCTCACAAGCATCACCTTGGAGGAGGTAATTGAACACAATCTTTTTGAGAACTTAGAGCTTTGTCTATTTGTCAAGTTTTCTGACTTAGGCATCGGAGAGGTTTCCGGCACACACCCGCCGGCTAGCTCACGTTTGTGTTTTCAGGTGACAAAGCGACGTCGTACGGAGAAGCGTAGACTTGGTCAACAGGATTATACGAGGAGAATTATTTCCTCCCCGTACAAAAAGTAAGATCGAAACATGAATCGTACTTATGTAAATCTTGTACTGTTGTCTCACATTAGCATATAATTCTATAAAGAAATTTTGTATTCCTAACATAACTCACCACAAAATTCATTTATTTATTTATTTACACATAATTTTTTTGCCTCAATTGAAAACACTTTCATCTTTTATTTTACTCTTCATTTTTCAAAATAAATTTTCACTCTCTCCTCCATTCACCCACCACCACCGTCGCCCACCATCACCACTAACCTTCAACAATGTCAGTTGAGTGCGAGCTCTGAATACCTTCCAATGATTAGTCGATCGCGACTTGTGACCTTTAGTGACACTCTGCGCACTTACCCTAACAGCCATCTTTGGCCACCCCATCATCGACCACTACATACGTCCACCCTCTACTAGTAAGCATCACCTTTGACAACTTACCAAACAAGCTCTCTTTTTTCTTCTTTTTTTTTTACAAAAATAAATAAATAAATATTTTATTTCATTTTTGTATTAAAAAAATAATAAAACTAACAACCTTATTACACGTTTATTTTTTAATTTTTTTTTGGGTGCAAACGATATCTTTTTATGAAAATTGTTTTAGAACTCTGAAGGAGTAGCTCTAAACTAGCATTAAATTGTCTTTTTCTTTCTTTTGTTTTGTCTTTTTCCCTCTTTTTTTTTAATAAAAAAAGTGGTTGCCAGCTACTAGAGCTCTCAATCAGTGCTGATCTTTTTATTTGTCTGAAATGTTAAATCTTTTTATTAGCAGCGAACTTGGGCCAATGAATAAGAAGCCCTCATGGTCTAGCTCGTGAGGGTCGAATCGAAGCCCATCATCTCCTGGGCTTCCTCTTGGGCTATGCTCTATATAGGTTCATATCAGAAATTTATGTGAAGCAAGTTTTTAAAGAGGGTAATATCGGCCCATGGGCCGGGCCCGGCCCATTGATTTCTATATGAATGCTAAAAATCTACAATTTAGAACCTATAATTCAACTACAATGGCTCTTTTTGGTGTAACTATGAAAACAGATTATAAATTATAGTTTAACATTATTTATCAAGTACATTTATATGGGATGTTAAAAAAAACAAAAAAAATATATAGTTATATGGGCAAATTATTATTAGAGGGAGTTGGGTAAAAAAAAAAAAAAAAAAGTCCGAACATATGGGATTGTTTGGTTTGTATTTTAGAAATATGTTTTGAGATAAAAAGTACGAAAATTTGTTTAGTTTGGATTTTTTTTCAAAAGATGTTTTGAAAAATTATTTTGAGAGAGAGTTTTGAAAAAAGTGATTGATTTGATGTGTATGAGAGATTTGTTTGAAAAATTTGTAAGGGGAGTGATTGAGAGCTCTAACTAGAGCTGGCTCACCCAATTAAAAAAAAAAATAAATAGAAAAAGACAAAACAAAAGCCACTAAAAGACAATTTAATGCTAGTTTAGAGGTGCTCTTTTAGAGCTCTAAAGCAATTTTGAATTTGTAAACCAAACAAGTTTTGGAAAAAAAATTTGGGAAAATTTGTTTGGTTTGATTACTTTTGAAAACTTATTTGTAGAGAATTTTTCTCAAAATTTTTTGAGAAACACAAACCAGACTTATTTGGGAAAATTTCTAGTTCACGTTGATTTTTTAATGCTAAATTTTTGGGCAAACTTCACTTTACCCATGTGGTTTGATCCATATGCAGTTTATTCCCTAACGTTTAAAGATGACCATATAACTTCCACGTGATTTCTGAACTGATGTACATCGTTAACATTCCGTCTAATTTAATAGTAAGTGCAAAATACATGGCAAATAAAGGAGGTTAAATGCTCATTATCAAATTTCAAGTGGGTAAATCGCACATGAAATAAAGCACAGTGAGTTAAAGTGTACTTTACTTTCCAAACAAATGGCAAAAATATAAAGATATTTTAGTCTTTTTAATTAAATTGTTAACAAACGTAACGGTGTACTTTAGTCCACAAATCACAAGTGTAATACCCCTGTTCCGTAATATGCTAATTGGTCCTTAAATTGAGTGTGATTATGTGTTTACCATGATTTTATGTGCCATTATGTGAATATAGATGATTTTGAAAGTTTTACCTGTTCACCGTAGGAATATCTGTTTGAATAATCAGCTTTGGAAATTAAATTGGAGGCCTTATCGGCCACAGAACCCGAAATTGATTTCGGGTTTGTGATTGGCATAATTTTTGGAGCCTACGGTGAAATTTAATTGAAAATTGATTCTGGTCAATTTAAACTGATTAAAATGATATATTAAGTACCTCATTATTTTATATTATTATATTGACTTAGTGGGACTTAATATATTTGAGCACTACACCTTATTTCTCTCCCTTAGCTTATTTTGGCAGATTCTTGAACTCAATTTGAGAGGGAGAGCCGACTATAGGGAGGGAGAAGAGGGATTATGCAACTTTGGTCTTGAAACTTGGAGATTGGAAGTCTAATTCAAGATTTGATCATAGATTGTGAGGATCAAGCTCCTAGGTGAGTGATTCTTGGATTATAATTGTAATTTTGTGCATGTCCAAGCTATCTTGGTGATCAAGAACAAGATTGTAATGAAGTTGAGTTGTGTTTGTTGAATTGAAGCTTAACATGTGCATGCATGTAAGAAATACTTTGAAATTTGCATGTTTGAGCACAAATGTGTATAACCCATGTGAAATATTAAAGGAAACTCATGTCTTGATCACCATTGGTGTTATCTAAGTTGAGAAAGTGGCTAATCCATCACATGCATGTACAAATTGAGAAGATATGAGCTTTGAATGCATGAAATGGCTACATTGGTAATGAGTTGGTGGAAAATGAGCCATGCATGTAAATAAATTATGAAATTGAGCTTCAATATGTTGTAATTCTATGTTTGTACCATGTTAGTATATGATTATGTGAAGTTTGGGCCGAAATCATGCATTTAGAGCCTTTGAATGTCAAGATGAAGCTCAAGAACTCAATCTGGAAAACCCAGATTTTTGATGTCCGCTCGAGCGGGTTAGTGGTACTAAGCCGACATATTCATTGTAGGTTTTTTTTTTTTTTTTTTGGCGACAGAAAGAAGATGGTCACTAATACATTGTAGGCATTTTTTAAACTCTTTAACGATGGCAAAATATTTGTCGCTATAAGTATGTTAGGTGGTTGCAAATAGTTTGCGACTGTTATTTTGCAGTCGCAAAAAGTATTTGTTACCCCCACATTTGCGACCCTCATTTGCCGTCGCATAGGCTGTCGCAAAAAGTCTTTTGCGACTGTTTTTTTATTGTTTGCGACGGCTTGTAGCGGTCGCAAAAAGTACTTTTTTTAGTAGTGCCACCACCACCTTCGCCCACCATCACCTCTAGCCTTCAACAATGTCAGTTGAGTGCGAGCTCTGAATACCTTCCAATGATTAGTCAATCGCGACTTGTGACCTTTAGTGACACTCTGCACACTTACCCTAATAGCCATCTTTGGCCACCCCATCATCGACCACTACATACGTCCACCCTCTACTAGTAAGCATCACCTTTGACA